GTCCCAAGCCCGCAGGATCAACTACTCGGTCCCTCTGGGTAGCTGGCTGTGACCAAGTAATGACCATAAGTTATAGTCATACCTTTAAGAACCAAAGTAGTCAGCACAAAGTAAATAAAGAACAAAGAGATACACACATAAAATCAAAGAAATTAAATAAACCAAAAAACCCAAACTCACTGCTACTGAGTCGATTCTGATTTACAGTGACCCCCATTGGGTTTCCAAGATGGTAAGTGACTTGGTCTCTTTAATAAATAAATTGCAAGCAAAAGAAGGAAGGGAAAATTATAAATTGAAAGAGATTTGAGACATATCAACAAAATGCAATGTATTGGGGTCCTGATTCAAGAAGCCAATTGTTTAAACTAAAAAAAAAATCAAAACACACTTGCATCACTGTGAATGATGATTTCTGAAAATGGTATTGTGATTGTTATTATTATTTTTTAAAGAGCCTTTATCTTTTAGAAATAAAAACAAACTATTCCTAGATGATGCCTGTGATTGGTTTAAAAGTAATCCAGAGTTGTGGAGGAATGGGAAGAGGTATTGCTGAAACAAGGTGCCCATGAGTAGATTAGCGTTGTAGCTAGGTTTGCTGTTGTTAGGTGCTGGTGAGTCAACTCTGACTCAGACCCTATGTACAACAGAATGAAACACTGTCTGGTCCTGTGGTGCCCTCACAATCCTTGCTATACTTGAGCCCACAGGTAGGTAATGGGCTCTTTTAGATAGAGTGTCTACTCCTTTTACTTTTGTGTGTGTTTAATATGTTTGTGCATCTTGAAATTTTCTACAATAAGAGATGCTAAAGCACAAACACACTTCCACACATAAAACATTTTTCATAATTTATCATCTCTGCTCAGATGAATTAGTGTCTACCCAACACCTAATGATAAAATTCACCATCATTGAGATACTTATTATCATTAATTATTCTTCTTACAGAGGAAGGAACCATTAAGAATCAGCTTATAGAAAGACTGCTATGCCTTACACTAAAATGCATCTAATATTGGGAGCTGCTTCTCTGCAAAATTAAGACTGTGATTTTACATCCACAATGTTTACTAAAAATAAGGTCGATGATTATTTTGCACTGATTTACATTGGGTCAAGCTTTATTAACTCACTGCCATCGAGTTGATTCCAACTTAATAGCAACCCCCTTTGGGTTTCTGAGGTGGTAAATCTTTATGGAAGTAGATTGCCCAGTCTTCCTTCCATGGAGTTGCTGGTGGGTTTGAACTACCAACCTTCTGATTAGTAGTCAAATAGTCAAATAGCCTGAGGTGCTACATAACCAAATTTTTTTGACAAATCGAATCACTGATGGATGCCAAATGAAAAAGCTCAGGTGCCACAAATACATGTCACAAATGAACCAATAGACCTAGGAGAAGAGTGATGGAGCAGCACCACTTACCTAGCAATCTCCTCAAACTGTATGTCATCCACTGAGGCTGTCACACAGGAAACCCCAGCGTGTTTTTCAGCTTCAAAAATAGGTAAAAATATGCTGTTAGTAATTATATTTTAGTATTTCAGTATAAGTGAAAAGGAGTAGAATATATATGAATTTATTTTAGTAACTCATTCTCTCATTCATTATAGCATCACTGTGACCACACAAAGGAGCTCTGGTAGTGCAGTGGTTAAAATACTTACTTGCCTACTAACTGAAAGATTGGCAATTTGAATCCACCAGCTGCTCCGTGGCAGAAAGATGTGGCACTCAGCTTCCCTACAGATTACAGCCTTGGAAACCTTATAGGGCAGTTCTACGCTGTCCTATAAGGTCACTATAAGTCAAAATGGACTTGATAACAATGGATTTGCGTTTTTGGTGACCACATAGCATGATAATCTGGGTCAAAAAGAGTTATTCTGCTTTAGAAGTTATGTTTCTACTGTGTAGTCACTGTTGTAGTTTACACAATAGATTTGGAATTTGATTCCAATACCCACCACATCTAGCTATTTAAATAGCAATTTTAGTATCTTGGGTGCCAATTTTAAATATTTTGTCAGTTACTTCTCCTCATTTATATTCTACATAACACATAATCAATACCATGTAACTGATAGCTGAAGATATTTAAACCACATAACCATTTTAAGCATGGGGCAGTATGGGACACCCTGAAATCATATCCCATATCATACAGAAATTTCTCTGGGCATAAGAGAAAAAGAGATACATAAAACCGGTAAACCAAACCTCTTGTTGAGTTGATTCCAATTCATGATGACCACATGAAATGCTCCACAGAATATATGTTGTTGTTGTTGTTGTTGTTATGTGCCATCAAGTCAGACCCAACTCATAGCGACCCCTCCTTGGGTTTCTGAGGCAGTATCACTACGGAAGTAGATCACCACATCTTCCTTCCGAGGAGTGGCTGGTGGGTTTGAACCGCCAGTCTTCTGGTTAGCAGTCAAGTGCCTTAGCCACTATTCTACCAGAGCTCCCATATATATATATATGTATATATGTACATATAACAAAACTTAATACCATCTCACTAATTTCTACATGTACAATTCTGTGACATTGATTACATTCAGGTTGGGCTCTTATTCTCGTTATTGTTTTCCAAATCATTCTACCACCATTAACACTACTTAATGCACCCTAAGTTCTCCCTTTTTTACATTCCTCGGAAGGAAGATGGGCAATCTACTTCTGTAGTGATACTGCCTCGGTAATCCAAGGAGGGGTCACTATGAGTTGGGTCCTACTCGACGGCACATAACAACAACAACAACATATGTGATTATATTTGAATTATATTCAAATGTTTTCTTTTTATAAGTGTATCAGTTAGATAATCTGAATTCAACAGGCCAGCTTGTTCTGGTTCTTGATTTTGATTGTCTTTCATACAGTATGTTAATATTGTTGTTGTGAGGGGCTGTTCGGTCCATTCCAACTCAGGGACACACCATATGTTAGAGAGTAGAACTTCTTCATAAGATTTTCTTGGCTGAAATCTTTTTGGAAGTAAATCCCCAGGCCTTTCTTCCACAGAGACGCTGACTAGGTTAGAACCACCAACCTTAGGTTAGTAGTTGAGAGCAAACCGTTTGCACAACAAATCAAATGGAGAGGAAAATGTGATTCTAGGATATTTCAAAATAAGAAATGGACATGGGAGGAGGAGAATGATTCAGAGATGACTTCAAGCTTCTAGTCTTGAGAGATTGGAAAAACAACAGAGCTCACTGCCAGCAAGAAAGTTTAATGCCAGGGATAGTGAACACATTTAATCTTCTTTTCAATACTGAGGAGACATTTCAGAATCTAACGGTGCCTTGGGGCCAGGGTGGTGATCATTATCTAATACAGTAATATGGCTATACAGAAGTACAGGCCAATGAGGAACTCTGGATTGAAAAAAAAAAAAAAAAAATGCCAGAAAAAAATTATTCTATTACTCCTATTGCTACAAAGTAAAACACTATGGTGCAGCATTTTTCTATCACGGATTTAGTTACACCTTGGTTAAACAATGTCCCTTGCTCAGATGGTGCCTCTTTCTCACCATAGAATATTCAACACAGGCCTGATCCAAGTTTCCTGGACCAACTTTATCTTAAAGTTTTCTTTAATATTATACCGTTAGCAATATAACTACTTGTGTCCAGAACAATTGATTATCAATCTGATCTTTCTGTGACCTGAGTTTCCAAAGAAAATTTTAAGCCAATTATAGAAGGGGCCATTATTTCTCCATTATAGGATAGAAGCACTGAGCAAGGTAACTTTAAAAATCACATCAATAGTCATATAGTCATATTCAGTTACCTTGGCAATAAACATTGTTGTTGGTTGCAATCTCAATGGTTTCTATACTTGCTCCTTTCTCCTACATGTGAATTAATTTTCTGTTCATATTCCCACTATTATGTTATTATAACACATCTCAAATCCTGTTAAAAACTATTGAGGCAGGAACTAAACAGACCTATCAACAAATAGAAAACAAACTAACAGACTGGCATCAAATATATGACTGAATTTTGCAGGTGGTTATCATATAGCTATCACACAAGGTATTAGAAATTCTACTGACACTCACTAGGAAGAGCATGGTGTGTTCATTATCATTTAAGCTTAACTCTTGTCAACTGGAAAATAAAGGGACTAGAATGAATGATCTTTAAAGCTTATTCTAGCTCTAATATTTTTATGTTAACAGATTTTACTTTAAATCATACAATTGCTGAGTCTATAAAGTGATTTATACAGTCTGGCATCCTCTTAGAAATGCATCCATCCATCCAACAATTCATGCATCCATCAACCCATCCTTATAATCTGTAGATTTTTATTTAGCACTTGTTGTTGTTGTTGTTGTTATGTGCTGTCGAGTCGAATAAGGAGGCCTGGTGGTGCAATCAGTTAAGTGCTCAGCTTCTAACAAAAGGGTTGATGGTTTGAGCCCACCCAGTGGCTCCGTGGGAGAAAAACCTGGTGATCTGCTTTCATAAAAGCTTACAGCCAAGAAAATCCTATGGGACAGTTATACTCCGTCACATGGGGTCACTGTGAGTCAGGAATGACTCAAGGGCACCGAATAACAAAAACACTGATATACTGTATGGAAGTCAATCAAAAATCAAGAATCCTAATGAGCATTATCATACATAATAATTGGCCAGTCAGAAAAATAGAGGTGAACAGATTAATACGCAAAATAATCACTCATTGTTCTAAGTACTATGAAGGAAATAGGAAAGGGCACTGTGATGAAAGTGTACAAATGTAAACAGGCATTCAGGAAAGAGTTTTCTGAGGAAATGATATGTAATGAGAGGTAATGCATGGAAAGGGCCAAGAGAAGAGTGTGCAGGCAAAGAGAAGAGCAAGTGCAAAGGTGCTGAGCAGAGAAGAGCTTGGTATGGTCTGGGTATAACAGAGGACTGGTGTTACTGGGGCTTAGGAATCAGAAGGGGAGTATACCAAACAAACTGCAGAAGAGGCAGAAACCATGCCTGTGACTTGGTCCGCAGCACAGTGTCTGCCCAGGGAACATGATGTTATTACATTTTTTGTTAACAATAAGTTCATCAGTGAAGTACTCTACAGTTTACCAAGTAACCACAACTCCCTGATATCCTAACCTGAATTCATCCACATGTATTGTTACCTGACTGGTCCCTGACTGGAGAATATGAGTCTTCATCCCCAAGTAGCATCTATGAGGAATGGTAAAAGGTTTGAATCTTATTCCAGTGTAATGGGAAGGCACTGAGAGATTTTTAACTCATGAAGTGGCATGTTCTGATTTATGTATTTAAAGTTCGCTGTGGGTTGTGTGTGAAGACCCGATCTTAATGAGACATGATAAAGGCAGGAAAGCTGTGGGAAACTTTGCAGATGTGAGGAATGGAGGGATTTAATTGCATACGAAATTGTTTTTCTTACTGATCTGAAGATGGGAGAGGTGAGCAAAGGGCACATAAGACCCACTTCTCAAAAATACTGTCCCATACACCCTTTCAATTAATGACGAATTTATACTACAACCTGTTGTCTTTCAGAAGTGGAAACTTTAACCCTGGAGGTATCTATAGTTCAGAAATTCTCAGTAGTCTGAGCGAGTTTTTGAAGTCAAAACTATTTGTGTAGGGCCTCCCAGCCTCCAGGGATCATCTTCCAGCACTCTGTCAGACAACATTCTGGTGTGATCCATAAGGTTTTCATTGGGTCATTTTCAGGAGAACATCACCAGGCCTTTCTCTAGCCTGTTGTTGTTGTTCTACTAATATTTGAAATACCAGTGGCGTAGCTTACAACATCCTAGCAACATGGAAGTTACCACCAAAGGACAAACTAACAGATGGGTGGTGGTTCATGATACTAAAGTGCTATTTGCTTTTTCACTTTCTCACAAGAGTACAATGGAGTTTTCCAGAGACTACAAATATACAAAGGTATTGGTGCCGTGGAGTCAGTTTCGACTCAGAGGGACCCTGTGCACAGGATAATTGAATGGTCCTACACCATTACAATTGTTGCTATGTTTGAGAATACAGTTGCAGTCACTGTGCCAAGCTATCTCCTTGAGGGTCTTCCTCACAAGCGTATGGCAGGCAACAAATTGAATGCAGAAGCAAATATGAGAATGGAGCAATCTTCTATTAAACAAGAAGCTGAACAGAGTGCAAAAAATGTAAATCAATAGTACTCCTCTGACTACATTTCATTTATTGTGTGAAAACATATTTTTATAAAAAATATGTTACTTTAGTTAGCATGTCATGGGTTTATTCTTGTTCTTTTTAAATGAATTAATATCTGATCATTTAAAACGTGGTAAATAGCAACAGAAATAACCGGGATCCTCACTTATTTATTGGTATAAAGGGGTCCTAAGATCAAAATGTTTGAGAACTACAGATGGGTCTAGGTCATTCTGTTGGATGAATTATCTGTTATTACCTTCCTTGGCTGCACAGGGTTTACAACTTCTCTCTGTAAATATCCTCCTCTCCTCCCCTCCTAAATCCCCAATCCTGGCGTGGCACAGGGCGATGCGTCAGGCCTCTGCTCCGGATTACCTTCATCCTGGATCCCCCTCCTCCCAGAAGGCTCTTTCCACTCCTGCTGCCATCCCGCATCCCCCACCATCCCGGACTCCTGTCATGCTCCACCCCCACATTCCAGCGCGCCTCCCTTATCCCCGACCGTCCGCCTGACATCCCGGACACCACCTGCCACCAACCCTTCCCCAACCCCCACTCTGTCATGACTCTTGGGATCCCGGGCCTTCTCCGTACAGCCTCAGGACCCCGCCGCCCCTCCTACCCGCCAGGCAGGCTGCAGTGTCGATCCACTTGAGCAACTGCCCGGCGCTCAGCTCGCCGCGGGAGTTGGCGTGCGCAGACTGGATGGTCTGGCTCATTTGAACTTCGGCAGGCGCCGGCAGTTCCATGTCCAGGCTAGGAGAGAGAAGCCCCCTGACAGAAGGCTCCCGCCCAGGTCTTGGAGCGGCCGCAGGCCCTCCCCGCTCCAAAGGGCATCTGTGCGCAGCTGGCCCTGGCCCAGAGACGCACTCACGGCTGGCCGCCAGGCTCATCTGGTGCGTTGGCGAGGTACAAGTCCAGCTGTCAGGAATATTGCCCCAGGGCAAGGAGGTGACAGAGATTTCCCAGATTTTGGAAGTAAAATTTGGGGCTACTGAGGTGGGCAAAGCAGGGGTTTCTTATCTGTGAATGGAAGTTACAGACATGTATCACAGGGCCGTTGAGAGAATAAAATGAGATAATTTAGGGAAACTCATAGCATGACCTTGGCTGAGGTGATATTAATAAAAGACTAAACCAGTTGCCTTCAAGTTGACCCATGATAACCCTATCTGTCTCAGAGTAGAACAGTGCTCTGTATGGTTTTCAAAGATTGATTTTTTAGAAGTAGATTCCAGGTCTTTCTTCCTAGGTGCCTCTGGATAGATACAGATATTTGCTGAATAAATAACCATTCAGGTGAAGAACTTGACAGACAAGGGGGAGTTAAGAATTGATTAGTTAAATGCTATCCAGAAAGTTTCCACATCCAAGAAACCATTTCCTTTAGAAGCAGTTTTAGGATACTTGAAAGTCTCCTCTGACTGTTGCCTTCTTGGCAGAGCTGACACTCACTGTGCAACTACAGTTCAAAATCCATCTTCTGATTCTTAGGATATAGTGGTTCTACAGAACCGTTTATTATTGATCATTTTATTCAGAAATGACCCCCTTGGTGTACAAACAAATAAAATGCTGATATCTGAAGGAGTGTCAGAGACATCCAACAAGGGAAGGCAACCTTTGGTTTCTATCTAGAGAATTTAAGATTCAAATCTGTCACCCACTTACTAATAGTCCCAGTGAACTCTAAGAGAATCTCTTCTTGGTGGGAGACAAAATCCAGAATAGTAAATTAGAGTTTTTCATACTTAGTCTTAAGCTTATAAAAGCTGGAGTTGAAATCAGTGACTATTAAAGCAGTTTCCATTAGGGAAACAGTGATACCAGAAAACTTCTATCATGTTCTATATTTAGAGATGTCATATTCATAGACCAGAAGAATGAACAAATCTATCCTGGAAGAGGTGCAGCTGGGATGCTCTTTGGAAGTGAGAATGGCCAGACTGTCTCAACTACTTTGGTCATGTTATCAGAAGGGACCATTCCCTGGAGAAGGATAACATGCTTGGAAAGTGAAAAAGGGAAAGACACTCAATGAGGCAGACTGACACAGTGGCTGTGATGATGGGCTTGAATATAGCAAGGACTGTAAAGATGGCACACGACTGAGCAGTATTTGGTTCTGTTGTACATAGGGTCACTATACATCAGATCCCACTCAACAGCACTAAACAACAACAACAACAACATTGTTAGGTTACACCTGGGAGAGGAGGGATGAGGAAATGGAAGACTGGAAAGATGAAGCAACGTGCCAATATATGGCTAAAATAATAGGGGCAGCTAAGGTAGTGGGAGCATCAGGGTACAACCCAGGGATTCTGACTGTCCAAAGCCCCTTACAAAGAAACCTAACTGACTCCAACAAATTGGTGGTGCTTTTTCATCCCTATGTAGCTGACCTAGTCCCTGGAAGGTTGTTATTTATGTTTCTATAATTACACAAGAAATCGAGTTATATCTTTCCTATCTTATTGTTGTTGCACATGGCCACGTGACTGTCTTTGGAATGGACTGTGGGAGGTGACAGTGTATCAGTTCCAAGCCTCTCCTTAGGTCTAGAGAACTGAAAACAAGAAGCATGGAATGAAAGGAGAGGGATGGGGGAGGGGAGCGGGAAATTTACCTGAACAGAAATGTAACTAAAGTTGTTGCTGACAAGAATTTGAGATCAAGCAGTTTACTTAAGAGTCACCACATTTCTGGTGTTCTCAGGAACATCTACCTCTGCAGTGAGAAGATTGCAAGCTTGACTAGCTGGCATCCCATCAGAATCTGGGTCAGAATGAACACACATACTGTCAGCATCCTAGCCGGCCTGCAAGCTTGCAGCGTGAAGCACAGCCAGCAGACATACAGACTCGTGAATGAGACATAACTATTTATTGTCACAGAAATTTTGAGGTAGTTGTTATGCAGTAAGAACTGACAATTATATGAATGAATTTTATTTATTAATATTTTAAGAAATTTCTAAAATTATTGGAAATAAAGTTTGTATTTAAGCTGGATTGTATTGTTTGGCTTAAAATCAGTGACTAAAGCTACCACTCTATTTATTAGATACTGTATGGAATTACTGGTACTCCTGTGAACTTGATATCTTATAAATTTGAGGAACATTTAAAAAAATATTTTAAGCATAGCTATAAGAGGGTAGGTTTCCAAAGTAAGGGGCAGCATGTGTATATATATATATGGGAGCTCTGGTAGCATAGTGGCTAAGACACTTGCCTGCTAACCAGACGGCTGGCGGTTCAAACCCACCAGCCACTCCTCGGAAGGAAGGTTGGGCAATCCTACTTCCGTAGTGATACTGCCTCGGAAACCCAAGGAGGGGTCGCTATGAGTCGGGGCCTACTCGACGGCACATAACAACAACAACAACAAATATATATATATATATATATATATATATATATACATACATATGGATGTTTGACCAATAAGCGGACACAGTACACAAATTCATTGTTGTATTTTCTTATATTTATTATCACCTGTTTAGATGTTTTTTGATTATGGTTTCATATCTTTTCTTGGTTTTACTTAGGCTTTCATTTTGATAGCCTCTACCTGAAACTACTATTTTTGTGTTTTTCTGAATGGTCTCTTTCTCCCTCTCATAATGAAAATGTCATCTGCACGTGTGAACATTTGCTAAAACCATTTATCTCTTATCTCAAGGATATTTGCTATTATGTTTGAAGAAAAGGCTACCATTTTTCATTACGTTTAGAGACATCTTTTGAAGATGAGCAGAATATGAAGCCAGCTTGATTTGAATAGGTCATGCACAAGAGCAGGAGAGCTGAGGGAAAGAGAGTGTGGGAAGTTCCATAATCACTAGGATACTGAGAACATCTTCAGAATGTTAGCTTGGGAAGGAAACTAGACAGTCTAACCCCCTCATTCTATAGATGAAGAAATGAATGTTTGTCTTGAGTCACAGTATAGTGGGTGGGCTTTGTGGAAACTGTCAATAAGCTACACAGAATACAAGGAGAGGGATAGGAAAAAAAAAATGCTTAACTAAACTGAAATGCAAACATACTGCTTCCCCAGAAGCAGACTCTCTGATGGGAATTTGAGAATAAGCAGTTTATTTGTCCACCACTTATCTATCAGTTTGTCATATGGTGGCGACTTGCATGTTGCTGTGATACCGGAAGCTATGCCACTAGTATTTCAAACACCAGCAGGGTCACCCATATTGGACAGGTCTCGTGGCATTTCCAGACTAATATAACCTAGGAATAAGGACCTAGTTATCTATTTCTAAAATAATCATCCAGTGAAAACCTTATGAATACCAGTGGGACACTGTCTAATATGGTGCTAAAAGATGAGACCCTTAGGTTGGAAGACAATCAAGATACGAGAGTGAAGAGCTGACCTTAATGATGTTGGATGACAAAATGAGAAGAAATCACTGCAAGCATCCATTAATAATCAGAATGTGCAATGTATGAAGTATGAACCTAAGAAAATTGGAAGTTGTCAAAAATGAAATGGAATACGTAAAGATCGATATTCTAGACATTGTTGTTGTTGTTGTTATGTGCCGTCGAGTCGGCCCCGACTCATAGCGACCCCTCCTTGGGTTTCCGAGGCAGTATCACTACGGAAGTAGGATTGCCCAACCTTCCTTCCGAGGAGTGGCTGGTGGGTTTGAACCACCAGCCGTCTGGTTAGCAGGCAAGTGTCTTAGCCACTATGCTACCAGAGCTCCCTATTCTAGACATTAGTGAGTGGAAATGGACTGCTATTGGCCATTTTGAATTAGACACTCATATTGTCTACTATGCTATGAATAACAAATTGAAGAGGAAGGGAAGCCAAAAGAAGATTTCAAGATCTATCTTAAAGTACAACACTGTCAGTGATAGGATAATATCCATACCTCTACAAGGAAGACCAGCTAATACACCTGTTATTCAAATTTGGGCACCAATTACACATGCCAAAGATTAAAAAAGATCTTTACCAACTGCTGCAGTGTGAAATTGATCAAACATACAATTAAGATGCATTAATAGTTACTGGTGATTGGAATGTGAGAGTTGGAAGCAAAGATGAAGGATTGGTAGCTGGAAAATATGGATTCAGAGACAGAAATGACACTGGAGATATATGATAGAATTTTACAAGACCAATGACTTATTCATTGCAAATACCTTTTTTCAACAACATAAATGGCAACTATACATGTGGGCCTCACTGGATGGAGTACAAAGAAATCAAATTCACTATATCAGTGGAAAGAGACAATGGAAAACCTCTGCATCATCAGCCAGAACAAGGGCTGACTGTGGAACAGACCATGATTAGTTCATATGTAAGTTCGAGTTGAAGATGAAGAAAATTAAAACAGATCCATGAAAGCCAAAGTATCATCTTGAGTATATTTTACCTGAATTTAGAGACCATCTCAAGAGTTTATTTGACACATTGGACAGTAATCACCAGAGGAGTTATGGAATGACATAAAGGACACCATACATAAAGGAAGAAACAGTCATTGAAAATACAGGAAAGAAAGAAAAGACCAAAATGGATATCAGGAGAGAATCTGAAACTTGCTTTTGAACGTAGAGTCACTAATGCAAATTGAGGAAATGGTAAAGCAAAAGAGCTGAATGGAAGATATAAATGGGCAGCTCAAGAAGACAAAAGAAAATTTTATAATAAAATATGAATGGAAATGCAGTTAGAAAACTAAAAAAGAAGTACATACTTGCATTTTTCAAGCTGAAAGAACTG